CGACAACCAATTTGATAAATAAATCGAATGATACAGAATCATTTATATTTTTAATTATTAGATTTCAAACTCGATCAAACACTCGACAACCAATTTGATAAATAAATCGAATGATACAGAATCATTTATATTTTTAATTATTAGATTTCATACTCGATCAAACACTCGACAACCAATTTGATAAATAAATCGAATGATACAGAATCATTTATATTTTTAATTATTAGATTTCATACTCGATCAAACACTCGACAACCAATTTGATAAATAAATCGAATGATACAGAATCATTTATATTTTTAATTATTAGATTTCATACTCGATCAAACACTCGACAACCAATTTGATAAATAAATCGAATGATACAGAATCATTTATATTTTTAATTATTAGATTTCATACTCGATCAAACACTCGACAACCAATTTGATAAATAAATCGAATGATACAGAATCATTTATATTTTTAATTATTAGATTTCATACTCGATCAAACACTCGACAACCAATTTGATAAATAAATCGAATGATACAGAATCATTTATATTTTTAATTATTAGATTTCATACTCGATCAAACACTCGACAACCAATTTGATAAATAAATCGAATGATACAGAATCATTTATATTTTTAATTATTAGATTTCATACTCGATCAAACACTCGACAACCAATTTGATAAATAAATCGAATGATACAGAATCATTTATATTTTTAATTATTAGATTTCATACTCGATCAAACACTCGACAACCAATTTGATAAATAAATCGAATGATACAGAATCATTTATATTTTTAATTATTAGATTTCATACTCGATCAAACACTCGACAACCAATTTGATAAATAAATCGAATGATACAGAATCATTTATATTTTTAATTATTAGATTTCATACTCGATCAAACACTCGACAACCAATTTGATAAATAAATCGAATGATACAGAATCATTTATATTTTTAATTATTAGATTTCATACTCGATCAAACACTCGACAACCAATTTGATAAATAAATCGAATGATACAGAATCATTTATATTTTTAATTATTAGATTTCATACTCGATCAAACACTCGACAACCAATCCGATAAATAAATCGAATGATGCAGAATCATCTGTATTTTTAATTATTAGATTTCAAACTCGTTCAAACTGTAATAAACTCGATCAAACATTCGACAACCAATTCGATAAATAAAAATTGTAACGTTAAATCGAATAATCTAGAATCATATATATATTTTTAATTATTAGATCACAAATTCTGTTTCGTTTCAATTATTGTCAACTCTGTCAAACATTGTCAAATCACATATATTTAAGATATATAAGCAAAAACACGATCGATATGCAATTAAATACAATTTTCATTCCTCGAACTATTGCAGTATCGTCAACCCTTCAATCGAACTATTAACCAATCATACATATTTCAAAAACTAAGATCGATTTTTACTCGATCAATTAATTACAGAAAACTAAATAATTTATAATCCTCCGATACGAACTATCACAAACTATATTTTCAATTATTAAAAAAAAAAAAAAAAAAAAAA